TTGGGTTTTCGTCGCTTGGCAACGACGTTGTAAAACAAGCCAATTCACTTCGTGAGCTCGGCAACCAGGATACCATTTTTTCTTTTACCTCTGTTTTTTTTTGGCGGTAACCATAATGGATGGTGGTCGAGTAGATGATGTTGTGCGGGGTGGATAACCCCCACTCCGCGCAAAGGGGATGATCGCACCACTTTGTGTTAAAATGGTCAAGCACCCTCGAGGCAGTTACACAGTGCTTTCAACTGTCTCTGCAAGTGAAAGCACCAGAAAATGAATTAAGTCACACGTAGCTGTCATCCGCATGCAAGGAAGCAAGCACAAGATGCCGAACATCCTTAGCAGGATGCAGCGCAACCCTTCACGCGACTCGCCGAATATCTCACGGCGCTTCGAGCTTGGTGATGTGAGAGCCTGGCCCGGTGAAACCCCCGCGTAGTCCGTCCCGGTTTTGTAGGCATGCGAGGTCGATGGTTTAACGACTACGTACGGCATGCCCGACTATGAGTACACCCCCCGGCCCCCCTTTATGTAGTTGCGGAATGTTCGTTGCACAACGTGAGGGAAGTTTACATAACTGAGCTGGGAAAAGTAGAGAGAAAATACAGGGAATGTTTGAGGCATGGAGTAGCCAGGAGAAGAAGACGGTAGCTAAACTGGGGCATACGAAGTCGGTTGAAGTGGCGGGAAGTCACATCGATAGGGTAGATCGGCTAGGAGAGACATTTTTGAGCCACCTTTGGCAAAGTAGGAAGGAACGATTGGGCATCGGTGATCGGTCCTGTGGGAAAAATGTTTCGTCCTCTCGAGGACGCGTGGTCAATGGTCTTACCGGTAAGGCACGCAAAACATAGGGGCACGCCCCTAACTTTCAGCCCTTAGGCATTGAGGGATTCTTGTCAATCGAGCTTGGTTGTTACTGATTTCAAAATGACCGAGGAGGCAGCAATCACACACGGCACACGTAAGACCTGTTGGTAAGTGTTGTGCAATAAATATCCGTGACTTGTCACAAGGAGCAGCGGTTGGGACTTGTCATTGCCAGGGCATCACGAAGTCTACCTCCATACGCGATACCTCAGACCACGACGAAAAGTCCCGGGATGTTTACAAAAATATAGGACCACAGCGTAGTCGGTATTTGTTTTGCACATGATCACGCGGTGCAGTGTGGTGCGGTGCGGTGCGGTGCGGTGCGGTAGTTTCAGGTGTAGACTAGACTAGACTAGACTAGTTGCACAGCAGTTTGCACACATGCGACCCCGTAGAGGGTTCCCCCCTCGAAGGGGAACAAACGGGTTTACGGTTCTGGTTCCTTTGGTTCGTGAGTTTCTCGGTTCTCGGCTGTTCGAGTAAATACAACGCGCCAGTTGTTGAGCTTTGGGAACTTCACATCACAGGTCGAAGACAGCTGCGGATTGGAGCCAGCTCAAGCGGACAACATTTTGGCAGCAAAACTCAGACTTCCATGGTGTCTTTGAACAATGATGGCAAATTTCCGACGGGAACCGAATTCGAAGCCGAAACAACACCACACATAAGTGGCACATGTTCAACACTGCGGCTGGATGCATGCTCTCAGACTTGTCTACACTGGCCCGCTGCGAAGTGTAGTATGTGGAGGTACTGCTGTTGGACAATGCGATGACACGAAGAGTCACAGGCATGAATCATCGAATGAATGCATGCATGAACGAGTGAAAGCGGAGAAGCACGAGGAAAATATTTCACACCGTCGTATTTGATGGGTTTGATAGGTTCCAGAATTGGTTCGCCAGCCTTTGTCAGCGCGGAACACTACCCCGAGGTTTTGAGCCAGTTTTCGCCACTTTGGTCGTCAACCACACGCGCCACGGAGGCCTACGGAGCTCCGGGCGCGGGCTTGTATGTACCGACGAGCCTCCTGCGTGCCCTTGAGAAGGAACCGCGAGAAAAGACTCGCTGCCGTAAGAGAAAGAAACGCCGGAGCATGAAAAGTGACCAAATCCTACATGTACATATACCGCGGTCCTTCGCATACCAGCCTTCTTTCCAGGACCAACCCTTAGCTCCTATCCACCGCGGTGTACGGACGCCTCATCATGAAGATTCGCAATGTCGGCATTATTTTGTGCTGGCTGGCATCACGGAAAAGTCTATCTAATACATGCATAGATGGATGGGCGACAAAAAATATGCCCAGTACCCAGCAGGCGTTTTTGTTCAACATTCCACTGCTTGTAAGAACTCCAACACGCGTCGTCTACTGCTGTATGTACCCTACAAGGTACATTTTTCCTACAGAGGGGAAACCTTTCCGCAAAGTCAAACGGATTAAAAGGAAGTCCTTATCAGCGGGAACGGACGAACCTGAATCCAAAATGTGCAAAAACAAATAAATGCAGATCACCCATCAACCGTTGCTGAAGAGAATACTGGGGGCTTCCGAAGTCGAAATCGACAGTCGACATTTGTGCGGAATTATACCGCTTCTTCCATCATATGTGCGTGGCGCGTGTTGCTGTCTGCACGAAAACAAGGATTCCTTTCTCTACTCAGTACCGTAGGCACAACTGTAGGCTGGTCTAGTGAACCGCAAAAACACTCTGATGCCTGATGTTGATGGGGGAGACCGAGCTTTGTGGTTCAGCGGATCTTCAAGACAATAAAATCAGGCTCACGACGGCCGTCGCTTGGACGCGACCAACTCATCCGAAGCACGACCCTGCGATAGACGCCAAGCCAGCCTTCCGGGCACTCGAAAGACATGGCCACTCCCCCCGCAATCACATTCGCACGCAACCGTCCACGAAAGAACCTGACGAAAGCACCAGCATACAAGGACCTCGACCACAAAACCCCCGACAACAAGACAACGCACTCCACCCTCTCACGCTCCTGTCCCCCTTGCAGCAATTGAATCAACTCAAGCGCCTCTTAAGCCTTCTCGGCAGCGTGCGGACCCGAGCTTCTAAGCCCGCGAGCCCGGGCAAGCTTCTTCTACGCAAGGATACCTCTGCTTTACCCCTAGCAACCGCCACCAAAACTTTCCTCGCGGCGGTGGCCGTGTCTATGCGTAACGGCGCCTGTGCTCGACCGGTTGGTTCCGTTGCTGTAGGGATAGTGGCCCTTGAAGCGGCGGTATCGCCTCCATGTTTTGGAGGCGTTTGCTGTGCCGAAGTGCTCCCAGTGCACCCTGCGTGGGGCGAGCAAGGGGCAAATGGGACGGGAGCGTCAAGAATGACTGATCGGCCTTCAAACCAACAAACTTGCCGTGTACTCTACACTTGAAATGTCAAGTCGTCGCAGTTCGTCTACGCTAGCAGCAACACTCACCGCCACCCACCTCCATCCCCTTCGTGCTGACGCCATCTATGACCAAAATGAAGTTGGTCACTATTGCGCAGCAGCAGCGGCGGCCGCGGCGGCATCGAGAACCATTCCTCATCGTTGTGAAGCGGTCACGACGTTTCGCAATCATTCCTCACCGCTGTGATGAAGCACCGTGGTGATCTTCACGCCGTCTCTCGAAACCTCTGTTCGAAGACGGTCGAAGTAACCTCGGGCGGCATGCTTTGACGAAACGACCCCCGCCGGCGAAGACGTTTCCTGCCGGCGGTGTAATAGAGTTGTGTTGGCATTGTGTTGAGATAGCGTTACGAGCAAAAGCCGAGGTACAGTTTGACAGCAGCATCGCACGGCAGGCGGAAATGAAGGAGAAATGAGACTACACCGTGCTCGCCCGGACATGTTCCGGAGCGAAAGTGTACCGTGGCTGTTCAGACATGCCCAGGAACATGACTTGCACTCACGTGGCACATCATTAACGACTGGACCATGGGACAAGTCCGATAGCAAACAACCGTCACGGCACAGACATGTTCAGGAACACGACTGCACGCCAAGCAGGGCGGGTGCAAGAAGCGCAGCAAACAACAACCCCCTACCCACATCGCGACTTGCAGAATACAGTCAACAATCTGTAAGGAAACCTACCCGGCAAAGAAAAAAGACAAAAGGAAAACGACATCATCCCCGCTGCACACCTCGTTACTTGCGGGCATGAAAAGCCTGCAGGAGTCGTATGGATGAACAAAAACCACCGAAATAAGTTGTTCTTGCCGCGAAAGGGATGCTCACCTCACGGGATGCGAAAGAATCATCTCCGCCCAGCACCACCAAATGCCCCTCCTGCTCATCCAGCATGCTTGGGAGCACGGCCTTCGTGAGCGCGATAGCTCCCCGGAGGTTCCCCGACGCGTCCTAGCCCCACGTCGGAGCATGAGATCACCAGTTTCAGACACAAATTTGGGAGAGGCGCACAGACAGACGACAAAGCGACGTGAAAAATGACAGTCAAAGCAGCTACACTGCCGTCCGTACCGGGAGACAGAAAGTTAAACCTTGCGAGAGAGAACATGAAGCTCGCGAAACGAAGGTGGTGCGGATGCTGGTGAATAAATAAAAACAACGTCGTATCGAAAAGCGCAGCCGGCACTCCCACAGCCGTTGTCCCGCCCGACACCCTCTCCTTCAAACCCAAGCAACCGTTAGGTCTCCATGCAGAGCAATTCTAAAGGGGATGGAATCGAGGGGCGACCTACACGTACTTGTGAACTAAATACAGGCTGAGTTTCCCGAAGCAGGTTTTGCACCACCACCGAGGGTAATGCAAGAGGCAAAAGAAATCGAGATACAGCTATGGAATGACGAAAGGTAGATGTTCTCCAAGCAACCGATACACCACCACCAAGAGGCACCGACATCGAGGAACAACCCAGTTGTGATTACAAGTAAATTTTTCATAAAATAGTGATTCACCTCGACATCCAAATCCCCTTCTTCTTCCTCCTCTTCGTCCCACTCCCCAGCGACAACGCCACCGCCCTGACAGTGGAACACCATGCCGACGGGGCGATCCAGCATCTCTTCGGCTTTGCTCGCCGCGCGGTCGAGAATGAAGGTGTCGCGCGCGTCCAGGGGCATGATCATGACTCGGTCCAATCGAGTCAAGCCTTCCAGAATCGCCTGCTTCGGTCCGCGATGCACGGCAGGAGGATAAGACACAGTGTGGGGGGGGGG